CACATTGTTCAAATGAGCCTTTTCTGCACATCGTCCCCTCAACAATCTTCAAGAAGTTCATCTAAACTTAGTGGATGACTCCTTGGTCATCTTGACCAAAGACAAGTTTCTTGCTGCAATCAACTTACTGGTGCATCCCTCCACAAAGTTCTTCTCACCCAGTGTTACAGACATCACCTCCACCTTGTACCAAATGGGATACCATAAGCAGATCAAGGGCATAGGAGAGTTCAAAAAGAATCAACTGCCTGTAGTATGGCAATTTGTATGCCACTTTGTGATCCGCAGTTTGTCTGGACGAACCGGAGGCACAGACAACATGGGCCTCAAACTGCTTGAGCTCGTATGGAGCATCTTCACTGGCCACGACGTCAACTACGGTCAAATTCTTTGGGATGATTTCCTTCAGTATATCCCTAAGGAAAGTCCAAGAGAAAACCCTACGGAGCTTACTTTTGCACGGTTTTGGGCTCTCTGTGTTTCAGATCTTCACTCAGACGCCAAGATCAGCATGGGCAACGACATAAACTTCTTCGTCACCCGCGATCTCAAAAGGTATACTCCTTATAAAGATCAGTCTATTTTTGGACCTATCAGACGCTTGCCCATTCACATCCTGACTACGGTTGGACTTGAGACCCAACTTGTCACGGATCACATCGAGGCTACGGAAGGTATTGCCCCATACCTTTCTACCCCGCCTCTCCCCAGTCAAAACATCTTAGCCTCAACCGCACCCAATCAACCAGGGCAGTCCAATGTTCCATCTTCTACTACTCTATCCAATGCCTCAAGGCTCAAACAATTAGTTTCTCATAAGAAAGGCCCCCGCAGCAAAGGAAGAACACACACCAAGGGTGAAACTCGCAGGAAATACAAAGCAGCCAAGAAAACCAAAACTCCCAAGGAAGTAGAACCCTCAAAGAAACAAAAAATCCAACAAGTTGTATCATCAGGAAATGACTCCCAATCCAATCAATCTTCGGATGATCCTGATGACTCTGCTCCTATTGCTATCCTCAAGAAAAGGAAAACCAAATCCTCTAGCCAAATGCGTGACCGGACCGATACCGAAGTCTCTCAAAAGGCTCCGGTAGTCCTTGGGGTGCCCGCAGACCCATTTGCTACTACCCTATCCAGCCACTCGAACACAGTAAGTGTGAACGTTTCACCTCAACGTGGAGACTCACCCCCAACTAAATCCCAAGAGGATCTAATTGGTAATTCTCGCCCTAAGGTCTCCAGGGCTTCCAGACTACACTTCTTTCAAGAATTGGAGTTGTGCTCCATTTTAGACTCTGTAATCCAAACACTAAATACACCTACCCAACCGCAGGGCGATTCTTCAGCTCATGCCAGAACGAAGTCGAGGCCACACTTGACCACGGGTCAAGGAGACCAAGGACACTCCGGAAATCCTACTCTGCTTACATCTTTTTCAGGTGGTTTAGGCACAGTGAGCACAAATGTGCAAGGATCTGTGAACCCGAGGGACACCTCGGTGCGATATCAAGGATTTGACGGTGAAGAATCAAATGATTCTTGGAGACATTACAACCCAGTCTCCGAATCAGATATTCAGAAGTATGCCTCTTTTCAAAGGGCATTTCAAGCTCGAAAGGATCAATAAACTAAGCAAATTCAACAGAAGCAGCTGGAAATTCAAACAGTAGCCAAATACTGGGCCAACGCCATCAGCAATGCCAATACTGTTGCTACAATCCTCAAGGTCCAGGACTGGATGGAAGAAATGGCTGAGACTATCCGCAAAGCTCAGGCCAATCCAGTTGGTGCAAGTTCATCCAAGCCCCCTCCAACCACTGCTGCTCATAAGTCTCAAGAGGACGGATCTGCAATCGAAGTCAGTTCAGCACCTACCTTTGGCTTCGATGACTTTGATCTAAATGAAGTCAATCAACCAGAACAATCAGACGATGTGATGATGTTTTTCGATAAAGAAGAGTCTAGTGGATCACAACACTCAACGTCCAAGCCTAAGGAGAAAAAGAAGCAAGCAGTCTCTCGCAAAGAATTTCTGTCTCTACAAAATAAAGTAGATCAGATTCTTGCTGCAGTCAAATCCTCTCAATCGCAATCTGAGGATCTGCCTGGTCCGCAGTCTCTCATCGACCGCATTGAAAGACTGGAAGCCAGAGAACGTCTTGCCGCTGAACGCATCTCCCTTAAAGTGGAAATGGGGATCCGAGCCCTAGACAACAACCGCAAAGCTGATCATCAACACTTCATCTCCACTGCTGAAAAAGTTATTTCTGCAGTTTCCTCCATCAAATCGGATCTTCAGACCATGACCAAGGATCAGTCTGCCCAGTCTCAAAAAATTGTTGAAGAAACGCACAATGCGTATGAATCCGCGATCTCTGTTCTACAGTCAACAATCAACAATCTCTGCAGGTCTCTATCCTCCAATTTTCACGGTCCCGAAATCCTGCAACTCACTAAGGAGATTCACCGATTGCTCTTCAATTCCGCAATCCCAAACAACCAACAACTGGCTGATGCTTTAAATGCTTAATTTAATGAAGTCTGTGGCAAAATTGATGGCCTAAGGCAATGGCTTGAGGAAGTACCGATTGCTCCTTCCTCAAGAGGGGGAAGTGAAGACCACCAGTCGGATAGAATCTCTCATCAACATTCTCATCCGCACTCTCCCATCAGATATAAAGAACCAACTCCTCAACATTCACCGCAGCCATCTTCACAGAAGAAAACACCAGTTCCCTCTCCTCATAAAAGTCCAAGTCACCAATCTCCACCGCAACAAACACTAATTCAAGAACCCCATCATTCTCCTGAGCGACCCGAGACTCCTCCTCATTTTAAAAACTTGGCTTCCCACATGTCATCAGATCATTCTAACGACTCTCCCGCAACCAAACAGAAGAAAGCTGACTGGAGATCAGCTAAATTTGTTGAGATGATCTGGAGGGAGAATGGAGTCGACATTACAATGGATGAATCCCTCATCAACTCATGGGTCAATCCGCACAGAAGATTACTAGATGACGATTACAAGCCATACCTGACATACACAGAACCTCCTTCCGACGGTTATTGGGACATTCCTATCTCCCCCAACGCAAAATACTTCACTGTATTTGAACCCTTTGACCGCAGTATCCCTGATGATAAGAGGTTACTCTTAAAGGTTGAGAGACTCAACAGCTTTCATGCCAAACATGGGTCTTCTATAGAGAAAATCTGGTCGAATGACAGACCCTCCGCAGTCAAAAATTTCAAGCCTCGAAAATTCATGAAGGCAGAGTTCATCCAGTACACTCTTACCAGAAGAAGCTCAGACTACGTTAGAACTCAAGCTGACTCCCCTTGCATGAACCCGGAAGAAATCTTCCTGATTGCTAAGGTATTTCAAAATAATTCTGATAAGCACCCAAAGATGATGATCGCTTATGAAAGGGCCTGTATCTTTCTCAAATAGACTGTGTGTGACTTCGCAAGGATCGATGTTGATATCCACCCTACACCAGAAATTCAATCTTCCTCCTCTTGAACCAGCTCATGTCCTGACTGAAGGCTTTCAAGAAAGATCCCTCGGAGCAATCAACTTCCCAGACCTTGGAGTCATCTTCAAATGAAAGAATGATGAAACTAAATACTTCATCCCGATGACTGCCATGAATCGTATGACCCGAAAGCTGTTGGAGATTATTCAGACTGCAGTCAACAAATCCAAGCATACGACTGCTGAAGTGAAGTTTGAAATATCAAGGAGGATTGCATGGATTAAGGAAGTCAGGAAGTTCTAGTGGATTCTTATCAACTTCCTCAAGCTCAACACTTGAAAGAAAAGTTGAAGAGGTCACTTAGGGGGAAATTGTTGAAACATTAAAGTGACCCTCTTAAACTTAAAGCAAATCCGAAGCCGTCTTCAAACATCCGCAGTCAATCTCTCTCCGCATCTTAGATCAGCAACCGCAATTATTGTCATCATTTCTTAGTTTAGTCTTTTATATGTTTTTCTTAAGTACTTTCTTTTATCCAAAGTGCCCTTCGTGGTAACTCTTAAACAGATAAGACTGTATGTAATCTTCGAGACTCTATAAATAGACTTCTCCCTTTCTTAATGAAAAATACATCTATTTCTTACGCATCTTAAATCTTATCACTCACCTTACTCTCTTCACTTATCTCTTAGTAGAATCGTAACTATTTGAAATATCTCTTCGGAGCAAGTCTTTCTAAGACTTAATCACTAAGTTTGATCTCACTTACTAACTTGGTTTGACTGCATTCCTTGTTAAGAATCAACTTAAGTGGATACTTGATATAATACTTGCTATCTTTTATATTTCCTTATTTTTCCGCAACTAATCATCTAACTATCTAACTCTAACTTATATTATTGTTGAGCTTTATGATCCTTTGAGATTAACTTTAATTTCCTCAATATAAACTTGTTCTAACGTTTGTTCAAGTGTGTTTCTCAAGTTTTTCTCTCAACACATACATATATAAACATAAATACAAACATAAGGAACAAAATCAGAGAAAAAAAGGTGCGCGAATTTGCCAAACGACAACACGGGCTGATCACCTACATCGTTTGAGCAAAACAAACTGCCAACATGCCTCAGTAGGAGATGACCGCTCTATGAACATGTCGGTTCAAACAAGCAATAAAGCTTCCAGGCTCTCGAACCAGACATACTCAAAGGGTTCCAAGGATCATAACCTTCCCCTGACAACTTAACACACATGAGTCCAAGGAGTCTCGAGGTGACGATCTCGGCTCACCTTAAGCGACCATAGAAGATAGGTAACTAGTCACCCAGCTAAGGACCAAAAGCAACGCCTACAAAATACTCTTTGGGGAGAGACCTCCCCAAACAAAAAGAGAAGCTTGCGAAAACGGGCAAACACTAACAATGAACACCCCGCAAAGTCGAATACAATAACGTTCCAGAAAGTACATACAAAAAATGAAAAACAAACAACAAACATACAAAAACACACAACAAAAATCAACCCTGGCGAGGTTGAGTCGAGGCAGCACCGTCAGCACCACCATCTGAAACGAGTTCCTCCTCTTCAGAGCATAGTTGGCGAAGATTAGCAAGGCTGAGCTCACCCAAATAGAGATAGGACACGAAGCCCGTCTTGGCAAAATCCCTGATGGCAGCATGCATTACATCAACAGACCGTTCTGTAGCGTCCGGATCGCACGAGCCAGGACCGCTGCCAGCCGACCACACTTGTGCCATCTGCTTCCCCCTCTCTATACCAACAGCCACATATGCGGCCTTCACACGACAAATCCCAAGCGTGAACTCACTACACTCGACAACAAGGTCCACCACACGAACCACCCCCTTCTGAAGAACCCAAGCTAAATCAGCCTCCAAGACTTTCCTCCTCGAGACCTCGGCGGCGAGCTAATCGTCTTGCAGTGCCAAATGCTTCGCCAATGCTTCTTTCTCTGAGACCAAATTCTGGACCTGCTGGGATAAGAGACTAACCTTCCTATCCAGAGTCGCCACCTGAACTTCTACAACAGTTTTCTCCCCAGACATCATGAGGTAACATTCATCAAACTTGTGTCGCTCCTCTTTGAGAAGCCAAACCTTCTCTGCAGGCTCATCACAATCTGATTTAATAGCAGCCAACTCCGCTAAGTCGGCCCCTATGTAACGAAGACGACCAACAGCCGCCACCAAGTAAGGAGCAACCTGAGCTGCGGCATACTGAAGATCGTTCACCATGTTAGAATAAGAAAGAGCATCGAGAGCCTCCAGGGTAGCCGAAGGAAATGCATGTCAGCACCACTCACGGGCGGGACCCTTTTCCGATAAAAGGGAACTGGGCGTAAGGTTCCACCTCGGGAGATACACACCAGGAGCAACCGAAGACGAAGGATCTGTCGCCGACGGGGCATTACCTGAAACCGAGGTCAGGACGGAGCGAGTGCCCATAATGCCTGGCTCTCCCAGCCGACGTAAACCCACTGTCTCCATTGCTTGCGGATCGTCACCATCAACAATCTCAATAACAATGGGTGACTTAGCGAACAAAGGATCGATGTTGCATTACCGATGCAAACGCCTGCCAATAGTATTGTCACTGACATCCTCCTCAAGAGCGGAATCCGCAGCAGCGGACCGACGTCGGGAGACGACTTGGCCGCTAACCACACCTGATCCCCTAACCGGAGAAGCAGCTCTGACCCCCGCCTCGACATGAGGGATATCACCCTTAAAAACAGGGCCAACTTTGGTTGGAGCCGATAGCGTCTCTACTTGAGGGACTTCGTGATACTGAAGATCCCCTTCAAAATTCCCCCTGTAGCACTTGTTGAAGAGACAAAAGCCTCTCGCTACCTACAGCAGCCACAACTCAAAACCCCCTTCTTTTCAGCAAAAGAAACTCGATATCAAATAAAGAAAGGAAAAAAGGGGGGGGGGGAGGGAAGGAAGGTAGCACTTACCATCATTGTCCACAAAAAACTGAGGCATCTTTCCACGCGACCGCCAAGCAACGCTCATTCCGGCTGTTGCCAATACACAGTCCGACCAATCTTCGCCGTTAAAACAAAACCCTCTTAACGTGTGAGCCACCGACAAACCGACCCCCGACAGTTGGGGGGAGGGGGCTTGATCCAAAGCCATGGGCACACAAGGATAGCCAGCCCCGACCAAATCACTTTTAACCCACAACCACCATTCATGCCAGTTCTTCTGAGGCTCTTTCTGGTTAACTATAAAGGAATGCGTGTTACGGCGCTGAGAAAATGTGTGATCACATGAATGGGTAGACGAATTGAAGAAAGACTGGAATACTTGAAGATGGGGAAGCACACCCAACGCTCGACATCATAACTCAAACCCAATTATCTTGTCTACAGTGTTTGGGGTCAAGTCGTGAACAGAGAAACCATATTCTCTCATAACCTCGTCGAAGAAATCAAAAATAGGAAGACGAAACCCGACCTCAAAGATCGCTACCGGAATACCAACCTTCCCCGCTGGAGGTTGATAAATTGTAGACCCTTCCGACAGGAATTGAACTCCATGCTCAGGCATGAACCAAAACCGGAATTGAAGATACTCGAACTCCTCGGGTGTAGAAGTGATTCCAGATCTAACGAAGGTCATGAAGAATCGGAGAGGAAAAATGTGGGAGAAAGAAGAAACAATAAAAGAGGATGAGAAGGCGGATTATGGAGAAAGGAAGCGTATAACCGTTCCTAAAGATACATGGCCCTTAAATAATAATAAAAAAGAAACAAACAAAACGAAACGACACTATCTCGCTAGAACGGCTTTATTACATCAGAAACACGTAATGAACCATTCCCACCAAATGCGTGCCTAGATCTAAGCTAGAACAACTCAGCTACCCTAAGCAAACACTGACGTCTACTAGCCTAGGGGACTTGTTGACATATCCCACCAGGAATACGTCAAATATAGCGGAACCGTCAGTCTGATAGACGATTTGGGCAAAGAGCGGTGTATGCCTAACGTCGGGACTTGTATTTACTTTGAGCACTATTATACTTTGAGCACTATTATACTCGTTGTTGTGATACTGTACATGAAGTCCTCCACCCCCGAACGTTTCCGCTATCCTTGGTTTGGGGGTGTGACAAGACTCGTCAGCTAGTCTTCAAGGAAACAAAGTTGTGTCTCTCTATCTACCGCAGAAGCTGAATATGTGGCAGCAGCCAGCTGTTGCTCACAAGTCTTGTGGATGAAAACGCAGCTTATGGACTACGGATATAGGATGCTACAGATACCGATTTACTGCGACTCAGAGAGTGCCATAGCGATTTCTCATAATCCTATTCATCACTCCAAAACAAAGCATATTGAGCTACGGTATCACTTCATCAAAGATCACATCCTGAAAGGTAACATTGAACTGATTTTTGTCCATACTCATGAAGAGATTGCTGATGTATTCACAAAGGCAGTTGACTCTACAAAACTGAACAGTTTCTTACAAATGTTAGGAATGATGAATCCGGATCCGCAATTCTTCTTGAATTGATAGGTATCGCAGACCACTCTTGGTCATCACTGCGGTCCTAACTAAATATATCTATTTTACATAGTTGTGGTATATATTGTATACTACAGTACATACTTTGTACCGTACTATACCTCATATACCGTAACCATATATCATACTTATATTTCAAGGGTCCTTATTGATTGTTATTTCTGATTGTGCTCAAGTTTTCTTCTCAGATTCTCCTACTGCAGTTGTCTAACCACTCATCCGCAATGAACCATTCATCTGCATTAAGGTCTCAATCCGCAATGAAGCCTCAAATCGCATTCTCTTGATAGAACTTTCAACTACCTCATAAATTATTGGAACATTGTGTGCTATTTAATGATCCTTCATTAAAAAGAAAACATTCTCAAAAAAAAATATTCGTTTTGTCACACACGATCATTTCAGTTTCTCCTTTTCAAATAAACCTTTTGTCAGACCTATTTTAGGTGTGATGCCAAATAAAACAGTTTCCAATAAAAGAAATCTTTTTAGAAAATATTTTCCTTAAACTATCTTTTCCTCTTACCCCAAAATGTCACACCCGTTACAAATTCCACCTTTATTCAACGGACTATCGCCCCTCACGACACGTTCCTTGAACATGGGGTATTGGGCCTGACATTTCATTAAATGCTCCTTTTTGGAAATAACAAAAAAACGTTTGGTTAATTGTCCTGTGGCTGATAATGTTTTCCTTAATTTTTTTCTTTTAAAAAAACAAAGGATTTTACCCTTAACCATTTTTCTTTACGGTAAAAACAATAACCTTTTGGAATCCGCTACTATAAAAACCTTTTTTCTTCTCCAAGAAAGCTTTACGCTCTCTGATCCCTCAAGACGAACAACTTCATATTCTTCCCCCTTGCAACTCAAGCTTTTTCTGCAAGTTCTTCAACTTTTTTTTCAAAATGGTGAAATCAGGAATCTCCAAGAAACAGTCCAAGGCATCTGCCTCTACTCAACCCACTGGTTCTGATTCTGCTACTCGGAACCAATCGCCTGCCATTACATCTAGCAATTTTAGGGCAGTCTTCGATGATCATCCCTCCTACAATGACTCAATTCGCCTTATGATCAAGTTTATCTCCAATCGTCCTCTATTTGGCCCATTCGATGCATTCACTGATGTGGTTCCTACCTCCACATTGTTCAAATGAGCCTTTTCTGCACATCGTCCCCTCAACAATCTTCAAGAAGTTCATCTAAACTTAGTGGATGACTCCTTGGTCATCTTGACCAAAGACAAGTTTCTTGCTGCAATCAACTTACTGGTGCATCCCTCCACAAAGTTCTTCTCACCCAGTGTTACAGACATCACCTCCACCTTGTACCAAATGGGATACCATAAGCAGATCAAGGGCATAGGAGAGTTCAAAAAGAATCAACTGCCTGTAGTATGGCAATTTGTATGCCACTTTGTGATCCGCAGTTTGTCTGGACGAACCGGAGGCACAGACAACATGGGCCTCAAACTGCTTGAGCTCGTATGGAGCATCTTCACTGGCCACGACGTCAACTACGGTCAAATTCTTTGGGATGATTTCCTTCAGTATATCCCTAAGGAAAGTCCAAGAGAAAACCCTACGGAGCTTACTTTTGCACGGTTTTGGGCTCTCTGTGTTTCAGATCTTCACTCAGACGCCAAGATCAGCATGGGCAACGACATAAACTTCTTCGTCACCCGCGATCTCAAAAGGTATACTCCTTATAAAGATCAGTCTATTTTTGGACCTATCAGACGCTTGCCCATTCACATCCTGACTACGGTTGGACTTGAGACCCAACTTGTCACGGATCACATCGAGGCTACGGAAGGTATTGCCCCATACCTTTCTACCCCGCCTCTCCCCAGTCAAAACATCTTAGCCTCAACCGCACCCAATCAACCAGGGCAGTCCAATGTTCCATCCTCTACTACTCTATCCAATGCCTCAAGGCTCAAACAATTAGTTTCTCATAAGAAAGGCCCCCGCAGCAAAAAGAACACACACCAAGGGTGAAACTCGCAGGAAATACAAAGCAGCCAAGAAAACCAAAACTCCCAAGGAAGTAGAACCCTCAAAGAAACAAAAAATCCAACAAGTTGTATCATCAGGAAATGACTCCCAATCCAATCAATCTTCGGATGATCCTGATGACTCTGCTCCTATTGCTATCCTCAAGAAAAGGAAAACCAAATCCTCTAGCCAAATGCGTGACCGGACCGATACCGAAGTCTCTCAAAAGGCTCCGGTAGTCCTTGGGGTACCCGCAGACCCATTTGCTACTACCCTATCCAGCCACTCGAACACAGTAAGTGTGAACGTTTCACCTCAACGTGGAGACTCACCCCCAACTAAATCCCAAGAGGATCTAATTGGTAATTCTCGCCCTAAGGTCTCCAGGGCTTCCAGACTACACTTCTTTCAAGAATTGGAGTTGTGCTCCATTTTAGACTCTGTAATCCAAACACTAAATACACCTACCTAACCGCAGGGCGATTCTTCAGCTCATGCCAGAACGAAGTCGAGGCCACACTTGACCACGGGTCAAGGAGACCAAGGACACTCCGGAAATCCTACTCTGCTTACATCTTTTTCAGGTGGTTTAGGCACAGTGAGCACAAATGTACAAGGATCTGTGAACCCGAGGGACACCTCGGTGCGATATCAAGGATTTGACGGTGAAGAATCAAATGATTCTTGGAGACATTACAACCCAGTCTCCGAATCAGATATTCAGAAGTATGCCTCTTTTCAAAGGGCATTTCAAGCTCGAAAGGATCAATAAACTAAGCAAATTCAACAGAAGCAGCTGGAATTTCAAACAGTAGCCAAATACTGGGCCAATGCCATCAGCAATTCCAATACTGTTGCTACAATCCTCAAGGTCCAGGACTGGATGGAAGAAATGGCTGAGACTATCCGCAAAGCTCAGGCCAATCCAGTTGGTGCAAGTTCATCCAAGCCCCCTCCAACCACTGCTGCTCATAACTCTCAAGAGGACGGATCTGCAATCGAAGTCAGTTCAGCACCTACCTTTGGCTTCGATGACTTTGATCTAAATGAAGTCAATCAACCAGAACAATCAGACGATGTGATGATGTTTTTCGATGAAGAAGAGTCTAGTGGATCACAACACTCAACGTCCAAGCCTAAGGAGAAAAAGAAGCAAGCAGTCTCTCGCAAAGAATTTCTGTCTCTAGAAAATAAAGTAGATCAGATTCTTGCTGCAGTCAAATCCTCTCAATCGCAATCTGAGGATCTGCCTGGTCCGCAGTCTCTCATCGACCGCATTGAAAGACTGGAAGCCAGAGAACGTCTTGCCGCTGAACGCATCTCCCTTAAAGTGGAAATGGGGATCCGAGCCCTAGACAACAACCGCAAAGCTGATCATCAACACTTCATCTCCACTACTGAAAAAGTTATTTCTGCAGTTTCCTCCATCAAATCGGATCTTCAGACCATGACCAAGGATCAGTCTGCCCAGTCTCAGAAAATTGCTGAAGAAACGCACAATGCGTATGAATCCGCGATCTCTGTTCTACAGTCAACAATCAACAATCTCTGCAGGTCTCTATCCTCCAATTTTCACGGTCCCGAAATCCTGCAACTCACTAAGGAGATTCACCGATTGCTCTTCAATTCCGCAATCCCAAACAACCAACAACTGGCTGATGCTTTAAATGCTCAATTTAATGAAGTCTGTGGCAAAATTGATGGCCTAAGGCAATGGCTTGAGGAAGTACCGATTGCTCCTTCCTCAAGAGGGGGAAGTGAAGACCACCAGTCGGATAGAATCTCTCATCAACATTCTCATCCGCACTCTCCCATCAGATATAAAGAACCAACTCCTCAACATTCACCGCAGCCATCTTCACAGAAGAAAACACCAGTTCCCTCTCCTCATAAAAGTCCAAGTCACCAATCTCCACCGCAACAAACACTAATTCAAGAACCCCATCATTCTCCTGAGCGACCCGAGACTCCTCCTCATTTTAAAAACTTGGCTTCCCACATGTCATCAGATCATTCTAACGACTCTCCCGCAACCAAACAGAAGAAAGCTGACTGGAGATCAGCTAAATTTGTTGAGATGATCTGGAGGGAGAATGGAGTCGACATTACAATGGATGAATCCCTCATCAACTCATGGGTCAATCCGCACAGAAGATTACTAGATGACGATTACAAGCCCTACCTGACATACACAGAACCTCCTTCCGACGGTTATTGGGACATTCCTATCTCCCCCAACGCAAAATACTTCACTGTATTTGAACCCTTTGACCGCAGTATCCCTGATGATAAGAGGTTACTCTTAAAGGTTGAGAGACTCAACAGCTTTCATGCCAAACATGGGTCTTCTATAGAGAAAATCTGGTCGAATGACAGACCCTCCGCAGTCAAAAATTTCAAGCCTCGAAAATTCATGAAGGCAGAGTTCATCCAGTACACTCTTACCAGAAGAAGCTCAGACTACGTTAGAACTCAAGCTGACTCCCCTTGCATGAACCCGGAAGAAATCTTCCTGATTGCTAAGGTATTTCAAAATAATTCTGATAAGCACCCAAAGATGATGATCGCTTATGAAAGGGCCTGTATCTTTCTCAAATAGACTGTGTGTGACTTCGCAAGGATCGATGTTGATATCCACCCTACACCAGAAATTCAATCTTCCTCCTCTTGAACCAGCTCATGTCCTGACTGAAGGCTTTCAAGAAAGATCCCTCGGAGCAATCAACTTCCCAGACCTTGGAGTCATCTTCAAATGAAAGAATGATGAAACTAAATACTTCATCCCGATGACTGCCATGAATCGTATGACCCGAAAGCTGTTGGAGATTATTCAGACTGCAGTCAACAAATCCAAGCATACGACTGCTGAAGTGAAGTTTGAAATATCAAGGAGGATTGCATGGATTAAGGAAGTCAGGAAGTTCTAGTGGATTCTTATCAACTTCCTCAAGCTCAACACTTGAAAGAAAAGTTGAAGAGGTCACTTAGGGGGAAATTGTTGAAACATTAAAGTGACCCTCTTAAACTTAAAGCAAATCCGAAGCCGTCTTCAAACATCCGCAGTCAATCTCTCTCCGCATCTTAGATCAGCAACCGCAATTATTGTCATCATTTCTTAGTTTAGTCTTTTATATGTTTTTCTTAAGTACTTTCTTTTATCCAAAGTGCCCTTCGTGGTAACTCTTAAACAGATAAGACTGTATGTAATCTTCGAGACTCTATAAATAGACTTCTCCCTTTCTTAATGAAAAATACATCTATTTCTTACGCATCTTAAATCTTATCACTCACCTTACTCTCTTCACTTATCTCTTAGTAGAATCGTAACTATTTGAAATATCTCTTCGGAGCAAGTCTTTCTAAGACTTAATCACTAAGTTTGATCTCACTTACTAACTTGGTTTGACTGCATTCCTTGTTAAGAATCAACTTAAGTGGATACTTGATATAATACTTGCTATCTTTTATATTTCCTTATTTTTCCGCAACTAATCATCTAACTATCTAACTCTAACTTATATTATTGTTGAGCTTTATGATCCTTTGAGATTAACTTTAATTTCCTCAATATAAACTTGTTCTAACGTTTGTTCAAGTGTGTTTCTCAAGTTTTTCTCTCAACACATACATATATAAACATAAATACAAACATAAGGAACAAAATCAGAGAAAAAAAGGTGCGCGAATTTGCCAAACGACAACACGGGCTGATCACCTACATCGTTTGAGCAAAACAAACTGCCAACATGCCTCAGTAGGAGATGACCGCTCTATGAACATGTCGGTTCAAACAAGCAATAAAGCTTCCAGGCTCTCGAACCAGACATACTCAAAGGGTTCCAAGGATCATAACCTTCCCCTGACAACTTAACACACATGAGTCCAAGGAGTCTCGAGGTGACGATCTCGGCTCACCTTAAGCGACCATAGAAGATAGGTAACTAGTCACCCAGCTAAGGACCAAAAGCAACGCCTACAAAATACTCTTTGGGGAGAGACCTCCCCAAACAAAAAGAGAAGCTCGCGAAAACGGGCAAACACTAACAATGAACACCCCGCAAAGTCGAATACAATAACGTTCCAGAAAGTACATACAAAAAATGAAAAACAAACAACAAACATACAAAAACACACAACAAAAATCAACCCTGGCGAGGTTGAGTCGAGGCAGCACCGTCAGCACCACCATCTGAAACGAGTTCCTCCTCTTCAGAGCATAGTTGGCGAAGATTAGCAAGGCTGAGCTCACCCAAATGGATATAGGACACGAAGCCCGTCTTGGCAAAATCCCTGATGGCAGCATGCATTATATCAACAGACCGTTCTGTAGCGTCCGGATCGCACGAGCCAGGACCGCTGCCAGCCGACCACACTTGTGCCATCTGCTTCCCCCTCTCTATACCAACAGCCACATATGCGGCCTTCACACGACAAATCCCAAGCGTGAACTCACTACACTCGACAACAAGGTCCACCACATGAACCACCCCCTTCTGAAGAACCCAAGCTAAATCAGCCTCCAAGACTTTCCTCCTCGAGACCTCAGTGACGAGCTAATCGTCTTGCAGTGCCAAATGCTCCGCCAATGCTTCTTTCTCTAAGACCAAATTCTGGACCTGCTGGGATAAGAGACTAACCTTCCTATCCAGAGTCGCCACCTAAGCTTCTACAACAGTTTTCTCCTCAGACATCATGAGGTAACATTCATCAAACTTGTATCGCTCCTCTTCGAGAAGCCAAACCTTCTGTGCAGGCTCATCACACTCTGATTTAATAGCAACCAACTCCGCTAAGTCGGCCCCTATGTAACGAAGACGACCAACAGCCGCCACCAAGTAAGGAGCAACCTGAGCAGCGGCATACTGAAGATCGTTCACCATGTTAGAATAAGAAAGAGCATCGAGAGCCTCCAGGGTAGCCGAAGGAAATGCATGTCAGCACCACTCACGGGCGGGACCCTTTTCCGATAAAAGGGAACTGGGCGTAAGGTTCCACCTCGGGAGATACACACCAGGAGCAACCGAAGACGAAGGATCTGTCGCCGACGGGGCATTACCTGAAACCGAGGTCAGGACGGAGCGAGTGCCCATAATGCCTGGCTCTCCCAGCCGACGTAAACCCACTGTCTCCATTGCTTGCGGATCGTCACCATCAACAATCTCAATAACAATGGGTGACTTAGCGAACAAAGGATCGATGTTGCATTTCCGATGCAAACGCCTGCCAATAGTATTATCACTGACATCCTCCTCAAGAGCGCAATCCGCAGCAGCGGACCGACGTCGGGAGACGACTTGGCCGCTAACCACACCTGATCCCCTAACCGGAGAAACAGCTCTGACCCCCGCCTCGACATGAGGAATATCACCCTTAAAAACAGGGCCAACTTTGGTTGGAACCGATAGCGTCTCTACTTGAGGGACTTCGTGATACTGAAGATCCCCTTCAAAATTCCCCCTGTAGCACTTGTTGAAGAGACAACAGCCTCTCGCTACCTACAGCGGCCACAACTCAAAACCCCCTTCTTTTCAGCAAAAGAAACTCGATATCAAATAAAGAAAGGAAAAAAAAGGGGGGGGAGGGAAGGAAGGTAGCACTTACCATCATTGTCCACAAAAAACTGAGGCGTCTTTCCACGCGACCGCCAAGCAACGCTCATTCCGGCTGTTGCCAATACACAGTCCGACCAATCTTCGCCGTTAAAACAAAACCCTCTTAACGCGTGAGCCACCGACAAACCGACCCCCGACAGTTGGGGGGAGGGGGCCTGATCCAAAGCCATGGGCACACAAGGATAGCCAGCCCCGACCAAATCACTTTTAACCCAAAACCACCGTTCATGCCAGTTCTTCTGAGGCTCTTTCTGGTTAACTATAAAGGAATGCGTGTTACGACGCTGAGAAAATGTGTGATCACATGAATGGGTAGACGAATTGAAGAAAGACTGGAATGCTTGAAGATGGGGAAGCACACCCAACGCTCGACACCATAACTCAAACCCAATTATCTTGTCTACAGTGTTTGGGGTCAAGTCGTGAACAGAGAAACCATATTCTCTCATAACCTCGTCGAAGAAATCAAAAATAGGAAGACGAAACCCGACCTCAAAGATCGCTACCGGAATACCAACCTTCCCCGCTGGCGGTTGATAAATTGTAGACCCTTCCGACAGGAATTGAACTCCATGCTCAGGCATGAACCAAAACCGGAATTGAAGATACTCGAACTCCTCGGGTGTAGAAGTGATTCCAGATCTAACGAAGGTCATGAAGAATCGGAGAGGAAAAATGTGGGAGAAAGAAGAAACAATAAAAGAGGATGAGAAGGCGGATTATGGAGAAAGGAAGCGTATAACCGTTCCTAAAGATACATGGCCCTTAAATAAAATAAAATAAAAAGACACAAACAAAACGAAACGATACTATCTCGCTAGAACGGCTCTATTACATCAGAAACACGTAATGAACCATTCCCACCAAATGCGTGCCCAGATCTAAGCTAGAACAACTCAGCTACCCTAAGCAAACGCTGACGTCTACTAGCCTAGGGGACTTGTTGACGTATCCCACCAGGAATACGTCAAATATAGCGGAACCGTCAGTCTGATAGACGATTTGGGCAAAGAGCGGTGTATACCTAATGTCGGGTCCTCGCTCTCGTGATCCCATATTCATTCCTTGGCGCCAAAGCCAGCATCAAGACAGAATAGTACCGATCGCCTCTCAGAGCGACAGGTGTAGCGCTCAGAACGTTGCTCCTGTCCCAATGGCAAACGACCACTCGCGCAGCACGATCTACCAATCAAAGGTCGTCTATCCTGCCAAACCTGAAAAGGTAAAAGATACTGTCAGGGATCTGTCCTCCCGACCACAGGTATAAAAAGGTCCATTCTCCTCCAAGAAAAGGGATCGAAAAAACGCCACCCTTAAAATCTTACCTAACATTTTTTCACCTTCTCTCTAAGAGACCAACTGACTTGATCGTCGGAGCCTCGTTTTGGGACTGCCTCCCAGACAACGACTGACGATCTTGTTTTCTTTGTTGTGATTCTCAGGCGCTTCATTTCCATCTCTTAAAGAGACGGAGTTAAGCCGGAGACCTATCACAACAGTTGGTGTCATCCGTCTATCGCGGACGACGACTGACAATCTTGTTTTTTTTGCTATGATTCTCAGGTCCTTCATTTCAAATGTTAATAATTACTCGGTCAAATTTTTATTACATAATGAATCACAAAATGGATAATTTATATAACTATTATAAAGTTAAAAAAATCATATTATTTGTCAAATGTTAAAAGATTAAAAATAAACAATACAACGATCACGTAAATTGGTGGACGTGATTTTATAAGAAAAAAAGGTTTTTGTACCATTTTATAAAATAAGAGTAGAGAAGGTTCATAAATAGTTATACCCAAGTCTAAAGCTCCAAATTTGGAAATGGAATATGTTACATAAATCACGTGGGAGAGATAAATGGAGAAAGATTGAGGGTGAATAGTGTCATTTATTTTTCCAATTAAAGAATATGACATCATATGGTTCCATCAAGACCAAGTAAAATCTCAATGAGTCACCCTAAGACCCGAAGGGAGAAAGAGATGTACTGGGATTGGAATCACATCATACATACTTATAAAGCTAGTATTTTTTCTTAAATCTCATGCATTTGAAACCCCTTTTTTTAACTTCCTCAAACCACATTCATTTGAAACTCTATTTTTTAACTAATGCAAATCAAAAGTTTTCTTAATTATGATTTAACACTCAAAAGTTTTGTAACTTATATTATTTTTAATTAGCATTTAGTGAAAAGTTTACTATAAAAGGCCAATCTTTTGGGAAGACATGCATACAAATCATATACAAATTTCATAAAGAAAACAAACTTAAAGGTTTTTGTGTTGGGTTGAGGTCGTATGACCACTTTTGGAGATATGCTATTATATTAGAGCTTTTAATTTGTAAGTTTGTTATACTAATTCGTTTTTATATTTTCTTCGTTTTTGGATTATTGTAATACAATCGTTATATATTGTGGTTTAATCGTTAATATATTGATCATATGTTATATAGGGTGATGTCGAAAATATTTAATTAAATATATTAAATATGTTTTTTTTTGTTTTGTAATTCTACCGTTTCAAAAAGATAATTAATTAAAACTCATACATATGTTATACTTTCCATATCTCTCTCTCTCTCTCTCTCTCTATATATATATATATATATATATATATATATATATATATATATATATATATATATATATATATTATAATAATGGTTAAAACACTTCAACCAAAATTCATTTAAAATCTAATATTTCAAATTCTTTTTAATAATGATTGTAAAGATTTCAACATGTGTTACTTAATTGATTGCATAATAAAAATATTAACGTTTTGAAACTCCTAACTCTTAAACTTATATTATTTAATTTGTTAGTTACCTAAAATATTTTTCGTACATAAAGATAACATTTTTATGTTTGATTACTCATATTTGTTTATGTAATTAGAAAACAATGTGTACATAGAATGATTACTTCAATTTCACATAGGAATCGATACCACTAGAGATGTATGTTGTCTTTAACCGGTGGTAGGAGATCCACATACCCTTTTTAATTATTTATATTAATGCTTAATAATATCTATTTTATATTCCTATTGACCTTAATTTTTTAGGTACAAATTATGGAAGAGGATACTCGGCGCACCAACATAAAGTCAAACGTACGCCTTGCAAAATATGTAATTAAAATTAAATATCATATTTACTAATCGACTTATTTTAAAACTCTTGATGACATTTATGTATAATGATATATTTTGTATGACTTCATTCTTAATTTCAATGTTTAATATTTGAAAGTTCATATATGAAACCTTGGATGTTTTGGTGTAATATAAATAGTGTAATACAAAGTTTATTAGTTCAATATTGTCTATTAATAGATCATTCAAAACAACTTATTTCTTATTTTATCCAAAAAAATATTAACGGACATAAGAAAAGTAGATTATATTAATGTTGTACAAAAACTTATAATATATATTAGATATTATAAAAGTAAAAGTAAAGTTTATAAGGTATGGACTATATTAGATAGTATCAAAATATAAGTTGATGGATTTTTATGTTATTTGATAATTCGGTTAATGCCCAAAACATGACTAAAAACGTAAATTTCAACATATTTCTATTTTTTCCCATAATTATTTTAACCACTTATATGCATTCTTGCGCAACGCGCGAGATTACGCCTAGTTCAGAACATAATAGTGGGGCTGCGGTTTCCAACGAAGGGGAGCTACCCTGCATCCTCCCTCTTCATTTAATTGGCTGATTTTTTTTCTTATTCCAACGGTTACTTAAAAAAAATATTTTTCTTTTTCATACCTTCAACGGCTATAAATAAGAATTTTTCAATTTTTTTTTAATATATTTTATACTCTATAGATACCAAACAAACCTAACATAATTTTCACATTTATTTTTGTATATTCTTTCAAAAATACCCACTCAAACACAATGTTGTCATCGTCATCTTCGTCCTCCGTTTCGATGATGCAAGAAGAGACATTATTTGTCAGTTCCATCATGGCAAAAATAGTGATGTATTTCCAAAACCGACAAGGTCAAAGTTCACGTTCACGGCCTCAAACAAAAAACCCTCCGTTGCGGAGAAATCTCGAAGTCGGGTACGTCTTATAGAAGACTATTTTGTAGATGACGCCGTGTATGCTGAAAAGTTATGACTTTCGTTTCGGATGAGGAAAAAGTTATTTTTACATAGCGTTGGTGATTTGGAAGGTTGTTGTCATATTTCCAATGGAAGCGAGTGCGAGACGCAAAAAAGGTTTTTCTTCAATTAAAAAATGTAAAAACACTATTCGTCGGTTAACATACGGCATGGGAGCGGATAAAATGGGACGAGTATTTGAGGATGTCCGAGTGTACCACACTGGATAGTGCGTAGAAGTTCGCAAAAGCTATTACTTTGGTTTACGAGCAACAATATTTGCACAAACCGACCATCAACGATATCCAATAGTTGTACACGGTGCATGAAAATAAGCATAAATATTCGTGAATGTTAGGTAGTATCGATTGCATGTACTGGTCTTAGGCATTGTGCCCCAACACATGACGTGATCAATACATGTCAGGCGATCATAGAGAGTTGACAACTATTCTAGAAGCAATCACATCACATGATCTTTGGATATGGCATGCATTCGTTGGTCCAATTGGTGCAAACAACGACATCAATGCTCTAGACCAGTCGGCGGTATTCAACGACATCTACCTTGGAAAGTCTCACGTCGTACCGTTTAAAGCAAATAAGGTAGCATATTAGTACAGGTACTATCTTACTGACGGGAGGGCAGTCCCCAATAATGAGGGGAGGGCAGTCCCCAAGCCAACCGACGGTGCAACCATCGACATCGAAGACCGATAATGAGGGGAGGGCAGTCCCCAAGCGCTGCTGCTTCGTCACTACCATTAGCGACCGCCGCTGCCGGATCCTGCCACTTTGTTGCTGCCGTTGTTGGCATTACTGATGAGAGGAGAAGCCGTGAATCGGAGCTATTTGAT